CAAAACACCCAAAAAATCTTTTTCAGCGAAAAATTAATTCCAGCTAAATTAAAGTATTTCACAGTATGCAAAATATATCCAAAAAATATGGCACTCTTCTGTTTTGAAAAGTTTGAAAAACAAAGATTGAACTTGACATTCAAGGGTTAATGTTACATCAAGAGAAATCACATTTCCTGTGATGATGTCATCATCATTGTAAACTTCATCTCTCGTCTTTTTCAGGTGGAATCGAAAAAGAATGATGGGGAAGCTGACAGTTCTACGAAAACAAACGAAGAAACGTCTTTATTATCGTACCAATGTAACTTGTGTGGTGTGATATACACACACAGGAGTGATGTGAATAAACATATGGTGATGCATAAAAAGAGACTGGAAGACTCAAGAGTTCTGGTCATTGGCCACGAATACGAATGCAAAGTTTGTGGAATCAGCTACATGTTGAAAAAATATATGCAGGATTGTCACATATGCGACATTAGTGCTGATAGTTACAATTGCAAGTTTTGCGGCTCGACTTATGCGAATGAACGCCAACTTGGTAAACATTTAAAGAAGCATACTGCGAAGAAAAGTTCGGTTTCTGTTTCGACTGATTATGTTGAACGTGATGATACTGCTCTGGAAATGGATAAGCCAGTCACTGCATTTTATTCCAGTTGCAGAGACGAGTCAAGTCCCCAGTCAAATTCGGCAGACACTGAATTTAATACCACTCATGAATATGAATTGGGACTTCATAAACACATGATAAACTTGAATCCCGACTTTCAGACTGGTGCCACAAGCGGTACAACCTACCAAGTTGAATCTGAAATTCAAGAAAAGATGAACGAATGTATTCTGAAAACAGACATTCAATTCACTTCTACTTATACAAATGAATTAGAAAACGAGATAAGTTCTGTAGTTGTTACAAAAAATGAAATAAGTCCGGTAGTCGTTACAGAAAACAAAATGAGTCCCCTGGACTTTACAGAAAATGAAATAAGTCCTGTAGTTGTTGCAGAAAATGAAATAAGTTCGGTAGTTATTAACAGACCAGATTATGAATATGTGGAAAGTGATGAATTTGTATCAGAAGTGGAGTCGTATCCCTGCGAGTATTGCCGAAAATTATTATCCAGTCGATTCCGGAGAGCCAGTCACCAACAAAGACACATTGTGGGTGACAAATTTAAGTGTTTATATTGCAGACAATTGTTCGATGATAAGGCGTCATTGGTGTCGCATTCCCTTGCATCGCATCACAACTGCTATCCACTGGGCGGTCTTCTGATTCATAAATGCAAGCAGTGCAGTGCTAGGTTCAACAAGAAAGAATACCTGACAATTCACATGTTGACGCACACCGGGCAGGGTCTGATAAAGTGCGAAGTATGCAACAAACTGTTTACGAACAAAAACGCTCTTGACTCTCATATTACCTCAAAACATAGTTCGAAATTTGGTAAATGTTTACGCTGCAATAAATACGTATTGTTGTGTGGTTTAGACAAGCATATGGCCTCGCATATGAGCGAGAAAGAGGAGAATTCGTATGTATGCGGACGTTGTGAAGAGACGTTTACTGAGCAGAGGCAGCTGGAATCCCATTTGTGTAAAATGACTGACGTAGTGTCCCGCTTTGTTGTTACGTACAATTGCGTTGAGTGCGGAGAACAATTTGTTTCGAGTGAAGTACCGGATAACACAATGCCGTTAACTTGTGATAAATGCAAAGTCATGTCGCAATACACTAGTTTAAAAACGAGAAAAATATTAAAACGGTCAGGATGGTGTACTTCATGTAATTGTTTTATACCTTTCGTATTCCTGAAGTCGCATATGAAAATTTGTTCGCAAAAGGCGAGTATGTATCTTTGTGACAATTGCGGCTTCTTGTTCAAGTCTCTGCTGTTACTTGAGAAACACAAGTTGGTTTGCAATCAACAGAACACAGGTCACCCTTGTGAGCGTTGCGGTAGTGACCATTTATCATATCTGTGTAGAATGGCATTGTGTAAACCAGGGAATGATAACCGATCATTTTGTGAAAATTGCGGCGAGATGTTTGCATCATCGTTGAGTGAAATCCATAAGACTCGTAAGTGTAGGTCAAGAAGGGACGGGAAATCACAGCAGTGTACTCTCTGTTCTTGTAGTTTTTTTACGGCTTCAGCTTTTAAGCTGCACATGGAATCGCATGTAAAACTCGAAAATTCACGAAAAGGATAAATGTGACTGCGGTGAAAAAGTTTCCGTAACCAAAACACATGAACATTCGATTGCTAAACATGAAGCAAAAATACTTCCCTTCACTGGCGGTGTTCGTCTGCAATGTGACGTTAACGAAAAACCATATAGCTGCGTACAGTGCGGGGTATCATACGCGGAAGTGGTCCTGCTTCAAATTCACATGGAGGCACATGCCGCAGAGAGTCAACCGCAACGTATCTCTGTGAAGTCTTACAATGAGTTGTGTCGTGAGCAGTTTGAATTACAACGAATGAAGTTAGCTGTGAACAACAAAGTGGAGGAAATATTTGACGTACAGTCAAACACTCACTTGAAGATCATACGCAAATCTAACCAAGAATTAGGAACGTATCAAATGCAATTTACTTTTACTTAAAGCGAGGGAGTCGCCACCTGCGCATGCGTCAGATGGGTATAGCATATCATTGTTTACAAACAAGCGCCTACCCAAGAGCCTTTGCGTTTTAGCGTGTGTTATCGTCGCTTGGGACTCAATTCCCACGCGTGCGCAGGTGACGACCCTCCTGCTTTAAGGTAGAAGCCTACTCATGATTTCAAATACATAGAATTTATTCATTTTTTAATAAATTGTACTTCTGGGCAATATAAGAATATCGACTTAAAAAAAGTTTCTAATTTTCGAGAAAATCAT